TGCCATTAGCATTATTTCCTTTTTCGAGATTTAATAGAATTATTTCCTTTTTCGTTTAATCTTTTAACAAGAATAGCTATATTTCTCGTCAGGAATGCATTGCCAAGCTTGCCGAGTAAAAAAAGTCGTAGCGTGCTTAGAGCGAATTCTGTTAAACACACTCTAGAAGGTGCCGGTAAGAGAAAGATATTTTGCACTGTGAGTTAATTGAAAATAATTAAATATAGCGTTTGTTTACTAATTTGTTTATTTAGAAATGTGGTAGCTTAATTGCTAGCGGGAAGGTACCGTCCTTACTCTGTCACGCCAATATTCATTCCACTTTTAATCGGTTAGTCGACCAGCTGTCGTCAGTAAAAATGCAAAGAGACAAACTTAATTTATGCTTAAGGTACGAGTGCAGTATGTGTGGTTTCAGCCATAAGACTGCTATTAAAGTCCGCTTACACATCAATATTGAACATGACGGAGAAGGCTTCATCAAATTTCGCGATCGACTGTAAATTTCCCTTTTTTCCTCAATCATTTCATGCTTTACAAAAAATTAAAGGAATGAAGTGGAGCGTGTAGTGATGCAGCAGCTAGCACATGAATGTTTCCCAGCTCTCATAAGTAGTCCATATACATCTCAAAAGCACACGATTGGCAAGCCTCATATCTCTAACTCCGCGATGGAAGCTCATCAGGTAAGCGACAGTCCACCATAACATAATGGGTGGTGCCCTCATCGCGCTTCGTAGATAACCGCTCCTGCCTCTCCGGGATGTGCTATGAAGCGTGCAATTGCACCCCGTACGCGGTCTCAAAGTTAAAGTTACTTCCATGTACTCTATAAGAGATCTTCCAAAACTCCAAGAAGAATGCAAGCCTATTATTGAAGAAAATTTACTAGCTAATTGCTTCTTAGTTACACTACAGCACTAAGAACATTCTGCGGGATACTACTTTGTGCTAATGATGTGATAATGACAATGTTTGATAAGTGCCTTTCTCGGCTGCTTTCAAAACTGTCATCGCCAAATTTTTTTTCTTCAAATCTCCTGACATAAGCAGAAACTTAGGAGGAAATTCGTCTTTCGTGCTACCATCACCTAACTCTTTTCTCCCAAACCTTCAAATTAAGGTAGGCGTTCCTCCTTTGTCCAAGTCAAGCAATGAATTGGGCTGCGGTCACATCTGTATGCCCCCCATCCCTGCTCATAAAGGAGACTCACGTGATGATCTGAAGCAGTCGGCTACTTCATCTAGTGACGGCTTCTCTCCCACCGCTAAGAACACCGAGAATTTTGACTCAGACTGTATCATTATTGACTAGATCTAATTTGTGCTTTACCAGGCGCATCACTTGTCCTTTCGACCTCTATGATGATTTTCATGGCGATCGTTACATGGTCCTTTCTTCATGCATTTTATTTGTTCGTAGTAAGGTTTTGGATTTTGTTTGTGAACTGGTCGACAACTCTCAATTATCTCATCTTGTGCCATGTAGTAGCTAGATAACTTCTGGTTACTGTACATTCCAATTCTGTGCATATTGTGTGTTCCAAGTTGCTATCTTATTTTATTCCGAAGTAATCTTTGATGCTCATATTGAAGCTGTATAATAATGGATATGAACCTTCTGTGTCAACAGTGTGGAACGATATTCCGCTGAAATGTTAGCCGTGATAAAGAAGAATCGACATATTGGTTTACGCTTAGAAGCTACACAGTTGCCG